CATCCAGCTCTACACCTTGTTATCTTAGTTTTTCCATGACCTGATTATAATTGGGGTGTGGAAGTGGTGGTAAAGATGAATGATTCTAGTAAATTCTAGTATAAACACCCTTCTAAGAAAAGGACAAATATCGTTTGCTGCACGTGCATGTTAACTTGCTGTAGTTCGTTGATCAGGGCATTCAGGTCCCTCTGAACATATTACCAGTCTGGAGCCTTTTAAAATAATTCTGCATATATATTTCTCCTACCCAAGTGAATAATTTCAAATTTCCTAACATCTGTACTTCACTGAACCTGTTTGTCTCTTTTGAAGATTCCTTACTAATTCTTTCTCCCTCTCCCTCCCTGTTTTCCCCCCCGCTAAACCCCCACCCCAATATGTTTGAATCAGACTTGGATATAGTACAGTCAGACAGCCGATCCCTGCTCTAAATCAATCAAACAGATTATAAATAGATGAGTACTGAGCATTGCAGAATTGGATAGTTCATAGAATCGTAGAATCCATACAGTGTGGAAACAGGCCCTTCGGCCCAAAAAGTCCACACTGACCCTCAGAGCATCCCACCCAGGCCTATCTCCCTAATCTACACATCCCTGAACACTATGGGCAATTTAGCATGGCCAATCCACCTAGCCTGCACATCTTTGGACTGTGGGAGAAAACCAGAGCACCCGGAGGAAACCCACGCTGACACGGGGAGAATGTGCAACTCCACACAGACAGCCCGAGGGTGGAATCGAACCCAGGTCCCTGGCGCTTTGAGGCAGCAGTACTAACCACTGAGCCACTGTGCTGCCTCTAACTTTCATTTCATTGCTTTCATTGTAAAATGTTGCCTAGTTTTGTTATCATGCTTAACAATCCAGATTTCTCTACTTGAAATTTTTGCAATTTTTTTTATTCCCTTGTTCTTACTTCAGATTTTCCCATCATGTTATTCTACCGATATCCCCTTGTATGCCAACACCCAAGCATTTGTTACAATTGTTTAACAACAAATTACTATGGATGATGAAGATCCGAAATAAAATCAAAATACTGAAGAAATACATCTGGCGGCATCTTTGAAGACCCATATAATATTTTAATGTTTACTCTTCCTCTCACGTCAGATGTTGTCAGATCTGCTGAGTTTCCCCAACACTTAACATTCATGTTCTTTTTGTGTAAATTTTAACCAGTGCTCAAATAATGCTAATATCATTTCCCAATCCCGTGAGCCCTAATTAGGAATGGTAATTACATTGTAGAAGGCTGTGTTGTTATTGCAGACAGCCAGGGACACAACAACAACAAGTAAGATTGTCCTATTCCTGTATCTTTACTTTGCTCTCTTGCAACTTTTTTAGTCCTCTGATAGTTATCCATATCCCCTCTGAAAGTCATGATTGAATCTGCATCCAGCCCATTTTTAGGTCATGCATTCCAAATCATGACCACCTTTTTGCATAGAAAAGTTTCTCATGTCACCTCTTGATTCCTTTTGTCATTAACCTTGAAAATGTTCTAAGGTTCTTGCCCTTTCTAACAAGGTGAACAGTTCTGAAACACCAACTGTTCTGTTCAGATCCCCCTTGATTTTGAGCAACTCTTGGCTAAGGAGCATACCCAGCTTTAAGTTATTTATCCACACAACTGAAGCTTCTCAAACTGGAAGCCATTCTAGGGTCTAATCTACACCTGCTTCATTTGGGTCCAAACCATTGTTGTGTAAAGATTTACCATAACCACCTTGCTTCCATACTGTATGAAATTCACTGCGGCTCTTTGAGGACGTAACAAACAGGATAGATAATGGGCTATGAGTAGATGTAATGTTTGGATTTCCAAGAGGAGTTTGATAAGCATACTTAGGACAAGAATCCATGGTTTTGAGAGTAGTGTATAAGTATGAATAGAGGATTGGCCAATTAATAGAAGAAAGTTGGGATAAAGATGGCAACCTATAACTAGTGGAATGCCATAGGGATTAGTGCTGGGGCCATAATTCTATTCCAGTTCATCTTTAATGTCTTAAATGAGGGAGGTCAGTGTAAACGTGCCAAATTAAGAGATGGTACCAAAGTAAATAGGAAAGCAAGTCGTCATGATGACATGAGGCTATAGAAGGGTATAGACAGTTTGGGTGAGTGAGCAAAAACTTAACAGATTGAATATAGTACGGGAAAGTATGACGTTATGCACTTTCAGGAAGAAGTGAATATTATTTGAGTAAAGGCTGCGGAAAGCTGCAACTCGGACAGATTTTAGGGTCCTGGTGCAGGAACCACAAAGAGCTAGCATCCAAGTTCAGAGTAATACGGAGGATAAATGGAACACTGGCCTTTATTCCAAAGACCATGGAGTATTAAAATAGGTAAGTCATCCTAAAACTATACAAGGAAATAGACCACAGCTAGAATACTGTAACTTGGTTTAGACCCTTTATCTAAGGAAAGATACAGTGGCATTGGAAGAAGCACAGAGAAGGTTCACTAGTTTGGTCCCAGGTATGGAGGAATTTTCTTACGAGGAGAAGTTGAGTAGGTTGCATCTGTATTCATTGGAATGTAGAAAAATGAGGTGATTTTATTGAAACATACAAGATTTTTGCAGGTTCATAGAACATAGAACATTACAGTGCAGTACAGGCCCTTCGGCCCTAGATGTTGCGCCAACCTGTGAAACCAATCTGAAGCCCATCTAACCTAAACTATTCCATTATCATCCATATGTTTATCCAGTGACCATTTAAATGCCCTTAAAGTTGGCGAGTCTACTACATTTGCAGGCAGGGCATTCCATGTCCTTACTACTCTCTGAGAAAAGAACCTACCTCCTGACATCTGTCCTATATCTATCACCCCTCAATTTAAAGCTATGTCCCCTCGTGCTAGCCACCACCATCCGAGGAAAAAGGCCCCCACTGTCCACCCTATCTAATCCTCTGATCATCTTGTATGTCTCTATTAAGTCACCTCTTAACCTTCTCTCTAACGAAAACAGCCTCAAGTCCCTCAGCCTTTCCTCATAAGACCTTCCCTCCATACCAGGCAGCATCCTGGTAAATCTCCTCTGTACCCTTTCCAATGCTTCCACATCCTTCCTATAATGCGGTGACCAGAACTGTACGCAATACTCCAAGTGCGGCCGCACCAGAGTTTTGTACAGCTGCAACATGACCTCATGGTTAAGAAGGCGTACGGTGTGTTAGGTTTTATTAGTAGAGGGATTGAGTTTCGGAGCCATGAGGTCATGTTGCAGCTATGTAAAACTCTGGTGTGGCCGCACTTGGTTCACACAAATGTGAAAAGGTTGTAGTCCCTTAAGCAAAAGGTTAGGGCCAGAGGGTGTAATCCCAGATTAAGGAGTCACCCATTTAAAACAGAGGAGGAATTTCTTCCCCGAGCAGATAGTCGTGGAATTCTTACAGGAGTGGCTTGTCAAAGCTAGGTCATTTAAGTATATTCAAGGCTGATACTTTTATTCAGTAAGGGTATTGAGAGTTAAGGCAGGAAAGTGGAGTTGAAGGTTATCAGCTCAGCCATGATCTCATTGATAGGCAGAGCAGGCTGTTTGGATTACTTCTGCTCCTATGTCTCATGGTTTTCCATTGTACTATTGGTGGGTAGACCACAAGTTACCTTTAGTTTGGTTACTTATTCAGAAATCTAATAGATAATCAAGATCTGAAGTAATACTTTACTTTTTTACATGTAGTAACCAAAATAAGAGCCCTCACGTAAGCAGGTTAAACCTCACAACTCCGCTTGACTATTATCCGGTAAATGGTGGAACTTAGCTACAATTCCACCAGCAGTGTCTGCCTCTGGAAATGTCCAGGGTTTGATTCTTGTGTTGTCGTTCTTTGAAGTTCTGCTACTGAACTGTTGGATTCTTATACAGTTTCTCTGTTTCAAGTTTATGGTGTGACATTATTGCTATCTTGTAGATTCTTTCATCCCCAGTATTGATTACAAGACCAAGTCTGTAACTTGCTTTCTTATCAGAAGTAGCTCCTCTGTTCCTTATTATATTCAATGCTGGCTGTCTCTTTGAAACAACCTGTCCTGCAATTATCTCCTTTACTTCAGGATATTCCTCCTTCAGGCTGTCTTAATTGCCCATTTGTCAGCAGGCAGCAGTGTTATCACCTTTTCCCCCAGGAAATAGCTTTTTTATGTTCCTTCTACTCCTACTCCTCCTTTCCAAGGATGGTTATTCAGCATGTTGCTTTTAATTCCTACATAGCAGGTTCTCCTTGGCCCTTTCATTGCAAGGAACAGTTTATTCCAGAAAGAAGGATTGTTGCTGATTCTTTCAATCTGTAAATTCAAAGTTGTGAAGTTTACATTGTGCCAGTACCTTGTTTAATTGCGCACCACCATTTACAGCTGAATGTGGCAAGGCTGAACTGAGCTCTGGTTGGTTGTTGGATCACTAAGCTCTACCAATCACATGCCTCATTTGCTGTTTAGCACGCCAATAATCCTGTGTCATAGCTTAATCACGTTGACAACTAATTTCTACGTATGGCTGGTACAGCTCCTAAGATGCCTTTCTTCACTATATGCCATTACAAATTGTGGTTGAATATAGTTCTGAAACTGATGTCCCAGGCTGTCTTGTACATGCCCACTTTTGAGCTGTTAGCTCTGTTTGAAATTTTTTTCACTTATTCATAAGATGTGAGTATTGCTGGCTCAGCCAGCCTTTATTACCCATTCTTCATTGCCCTTGAACTGAGTGGCTTGCTGAACCATTTCAGAGGGCAGTGAAAAGTCTTCCACATTGGTGTGGGTCTGGAGTCATCTGTAGACTCAATCAGGTCAGGATAGAAAATTCCTTTCATTAAAGACATTAATAATCCAGGAGTATCTTTGACAACATTTCATAGTTGTTACATGGTTGCTATTAGTTCAGTTTTTTATTCCAGGTTATGGTAAATTTCTATTTCACCATCTGCCATGATGGGAGTCAAACCCACGTCCCCAAAAAATTAGCTTGGGATTCTGGATTACGAGTTTATAAGAAAAAGGAAGGTGAGGGAGTAGCTCGTCTGGCCCAGTGAGCTTGCTCTGCCATTCAGTAAGATCATGGCTAATCTTTTCGTGGACTGAACTCCACTTACCTTCCCGTTCACCATAATCGTTAATTCCTGTACTGTTCAAAAATCTAGCCTTGCCTTAAAAACAAAGAAGTGGCCTCAACTGCTTCACTGGCCAGGGAATTCCACAGATTCACAACTCTTTGGGTGAAGAAGTTCCTCCTGACCTCAGTCCTAAATCTGCTCCCTCTTACTTTGAGGCTATGCCCCCTAGTTCTAGTTTCACCTGCCAGTGGAAACAACGTTCTTGCTCTATCTTGTCTTTTCTCTTCATAACTTTATATGTTTCTATCAGATCCCACCCCTTGCCATTCTTCTAAGTTCCAATGAGTATAGTCTCAGTCTGCTCGATGTCTCCTCATAAGCCAATCGTCCCAACTTCAAAATCAACCTAGTGAACCTCCCTTGTACTCCTTCCAGTGCCAGTACATTCTTTCTCAAGTAAGGAGACCAAAACTCTACACAGTTCAGTGCATTGCCACTATGCTACTACCTCCCCTTCTGTTTCATAGAACAATGGTAGTGCCACACGCATCATTGGAGAGTATCCTCAATGCAAAGATGGAATTTCTGCGAAGTTGGCCAATACTACCAATGTAGTCATGGACATGAGACAGGTGGGCATGTTGGTTTCCTCCCCACCTGCTGCTAAGCTAATCTCCATTTTATTCTTTATCACTCAGCTGATTCTTGACCTATTCTCTCTTGGCTGCAGGGTCAATCTTTAACCCTTCACCACCGATATCAGTTAATTTAGGGTTGGTCTGTTAAGAGGTCTATTGGTTCATGTCACACTAATGAAAACATCACTGGGTTGGGTATGAGCTGTTTGATCAGAGTGCCTTTCCTTTTTTTTTCAATTTCTGACGGTTGTTTAGACTCTGGCATACTTGTATCCAAATGTTCTTAGCCCCAGCCTATTCAGCCTCTCCCTGCTATTTTCCCGGGAGCGTCAGAGGCTGAGGGGTGACCTTATAAAGGTTTATAAAATCATGAGGGGCATGGATAGGGTGAATAGACAAAGTCTTTTTCCTTGGGTGGGAGTCCAAAATTAGAAGGCATGGGTTTAGGGTGAGAGGGGAAGATTTAAAAGGGACCGGAGGGGAAGTTTTCTCATGCAGAGGATGGTGCATGAATAGAATGAGCTGCCAGAGGATGTGATAGAGGCTGGTACAATTTCAATATTTAAAAGCCATCTCGTTGGCTATATGAATAGGAAGGTTTGGAGGGATATGGGCCAAATGCTGGCAAAAGGGACTAATTAAGTTTAGGCTCTGGTTAGCATGGACGAGTTGGAGCAAAGGGTCTGTTTCTCTGCTGTACATCTCTGACTGTACTTAATGCTAATACAAAGATTCAGTTTAATGATCTAACTTGGAAATAATTTACTTAATTTGAGTGAAATAGCGTCACATTCCGTTGTCAGAATAAAATATTTACAGCTATTTGATTTTATTTCCTAGTCTATGATATCCCAAAGAGAACAAATGACATAAAGATTTTCTATGGAAACCTGAATAAGGTGATGCTCTCTGTTACTGGAAGCTCTACAACTGAAATCACTCATACAGAAGCTTTGGATTCATTTTCATTGTCTCATAGTATGAGCGTTGAATCAGAAAGGTATTTAGAAGTATTATTTTATAAATTTAAATTTGATTTGAATGCATGAGTTTCATTATTTATGAAATTGAAATTCTAATTGTTCATAATGAGTTAAAAGATCAGTGATTGTTGAATGGCACAGCAAGCTCAAGGGATTCTATGACCTACTCTTATTTATTAGGCTCTTAGGAAAATAATTTTTTATGTTTGAGTTTAATTAAATGTTTTATCTAGGAAGTAAGTTGAATTTTTTATTTAAAAGGAACAGATGGCAGGTTTAAGAAAAACATCAGAATGACATTTGTCCAATGTAACTTTGTAGTGTACTCGGAAGCTCAGAAAGGAATCCATCAAATGCATCATTAGATGTACTTCCAGTGAGAGGCCCACAAGGTTCTCCATTATCTTTGAATGCTTCTAATCAAATGCTGAAGCAGTCACCTAAACAAAAATCGTCGTGGACCATTCGGCCTGAATATTTAATTCTTACTGTGCCATCAGCTGGTGAGTAGCATTGCATTGCAATTTCTATTGTGTTGATATAGGAAGTTAGGAGAACTAGGTATATTGGAACATGCTTTCCTCTAGATATTTTAAAATTGGAAAAGCACCATAAAAACTACTTGACAAAAGGAAAATACTGCAAATCTTGGAACTCTTAGACAAGCATAAAACGGATGAAACGTTAACTCTGTGTTCCTCTGCACATGTGCTGATTTTCTTTATCCTTTTCTGCTCCTCTTGAGTGTTAACTAAAATGTCAGTTCACTTTTAAATTGTCATTGGTTGTCCGTGGGAGCTGATGTGGTTGACTTTTGTGGTAACCTTACAGCCACAGACTGATGTTATTTGTAGATGCATTGACAGAATCTAGCAAATCAGTAAGATAACTCCTTATGAAAGGTGAAGCCACAACAGACACCTCGTGTGCATCTACTAATGGGAGTGGATATCAGGTGTTGGCTGTGAAGACTTGCGAAGGTATGTTTCAGGATCATGATTTGTAATGCTCTAATTTTGTTTCTGCATTTTATAGATGGATCAGCGCAGACTGGACGTGTACAGATTATAAATCATTCCCCTAGGTCTTTGGCTTTTGAATTGTCTTGGCCAGCGCACTCGTTAACAGTAACACCCCAACATGGAGTTGTTGATCCAGAGTATGTATAAACTTACATTAACAGTTTGTGATTCTTGCAGTTGGGGATACTTAAATTATTACGATGCAATTCATAACTGAATACATATGCTGTTCGTCTTAACTTTAACTTTTTTGAATTTTTAATTCTCGGTATGAAATTAGAATTAGGGTTTATTGTCACGTGTACTCCTGTATAGGGACACAAGAGTACAGTGAAAAGTTTATAATGTAGCCATTCACTGTGCCATCTTTAGGGTACAAGGTACCTAGGTACAAAATCTTCGGTTTTAAAAATAGAAAAATAAAGAAATAAGTTTTTTTTAAAAAAAAGTTCAACATTACAGTCTTTTTAGTCATGGGCTTGCGGTTAGTCCACGCTGGGCTCTTCTCACAAGGGCTCAATCTCTAGATCTTTGCTCTGCTGAATCGCAGCTAACTTCTATTCTGTCTGTCTCTCTGCCCTCCCCCATGCTGAGTTTGATCTCCGCGCCTCTGCGCTGCTGTCTCACCACCAATTGCCATCCGCCCTTGCCCCTCGACCCCCGCCCCCACGCTGGGCTTGATGTCTCAATCTCCATGCTGCCAGCTGCCTTGCCACAGGCCACCAGAGTCCCACTCTGGGTCCCA